CCCCCCCCCCGCTCACACTGTGTCTCTCTCTCTCTCTCTCAAAAATAAATAAGCATTAAAAAAAAAAAAAAAACCCTGAAGATATGGGGGCGCCTGGGTGGCTCAGTAGGGTAAGCGTCCGACTTCGGCTCAGGTCATGATCTCATGGTTCATGGGTTTGAGCCCTGCATCAGGCTCTGTGCTGACAGCTCGGAGCCTGGAGCCCGCTTCAGATTCTGTGTCTCCCTCTCTCTCTCTCAAAAATAAATAAGCATTAAAAAAAAAAAAAAAACCCTGAAGATATGGGGGCGCCTGGGTGGCTCAGTAGGGTAAGCGTCCGACTTCGGCTCAGGTCATGATCTCATGGTTCATGGGTTTGAGCCCTGCATCAGGCTCTGTGCTGACAGCTCGGAGCCTGGAGCCCGCTTCAGATTCTGTGTCTCCCTCTCTCTCTTTCCCTCCCCTGCTCATACTCTGTCTCTGCCTCTCTCTCAAAATTAAATAAATATAAGATTTTTTTAAGCTGAAGATGTGAATTTTACACCAAGGCAATACAAAACTGGGTCCTAAGACTAAGTTTCCTCTATAGCCTATTAAATATTGCTAGGAATTTTCTCTTGCCTTTTTCTAATGAAGGGTGCCTGAGGATACCTGAGACGCTTGTTTGCACCTTTATGCTCGATTATGATTTCATCACCTGTCTTATTAACAGAATAATATCAGCTTATTGAGATTATTAAGAGGACAACTGTAAATTAAATCCAGGCTACCAAGTGGGATTGCTGACTGCATAAACAGTTGCAGAATCCTCACACACTGAGGTCTGGGCATCAACTGTGTTATAAATCCACGCAAATATCCTGGGAAAATGTCATCGAAAGCTGAGATTCCGAGTATGGTCCCCGGGCCACGACGATCAAAGTACAAGGGGTCTCCTTCTGGGCCATAAATTGTCAGGCATGGCGAAAGGCAGCTTGTGGAATTAAAAAGGGTCAATGGCGTTTGGTATTTCTAAACTAGAGTTAGCCCGTTCCCTGGCTTTACTACACACTCAGTGTTCTGTCAGGAGCGATCTGTCAAGAAGCCTGGTTAACGTGCTTGGCAATGCTCCTGCAGCGGAGCATGTGTGGAGAACTGGAAGCCCCACGTCTTTCTGGAAGGACACTTCACCTATCCTATCACCGCGTAATTAGTGTTCTGGAGCTGCTCATGATTTACAGTCGCTGCATCTCTTGCTGTCAAATTATAGGTTGCAGTTAGTTTTTCAGGGGCAATATGCGGGCGAGTGTGGTTAATGCTGCAATGCTTAGGAACGTGTTAGACACAAAGAAAGTGCTCAATTATTTATTAAGTGAATAGGAAAATGGATCATCATGTTTTATATTGGCCTATGTCCTAGTCCTTTGCCCCATATTTTTCTTTTTCTTTTAATTTACCAACACAGCTTGGGTATTTATGTATCCTGGTTTTTTCAAGTAACAGTGAATCAACTATTTGATCTTCTTGGTGCTAGGACTTGCTGATGTTCTCTGATTGCTGTTCTCATCATGGGCTAGGCTCTTTAACAAATTTACAGCTTCTTGCAAGTAGTTAATTTTGCAGATAGCCTGTGGATCACAGGCTCATTAATTTGACAGATGTTTGTTAAATACCTACTCTATGCCAGGTATTCTGATTATAGAGCATATAATGAGGAAGGAGGTGGCATGTAATGGTTTATTCTCTTTCTTTCTTTTTGAAGGTTTATTTATTCTGAGAGAAAGAGAGCAAGCAGGGGAGGCAAAGAGAGAGAATACCAAGCAGGCTCCGCATTGTCAGTGCAGAGCCTGAAGCAGGGCTCAGCCTCATGAACTGTGAAATCATGACCTGAGCTGACTGAGTCACCCAGGGGCCCCTGTAATGGGTATTTTCTAGCTAGTGGAGACGAAGTGATATAGGATTACTAGACTTGAGGGACAGGGAGACATCCATGAACGCTTTCATAGTCAGACAGGGACAGAACGCACAAGTTTTGCTAAGAACCAGAGCCAGGTACTAGAGAGTATATAGAATAGGGTCCAATTGCTTTAAGTCTTTTGCTTTTCATTTTTAAAAAATGTTTATTTATTGAGAGAGAGAGAGAGAGAGAGAGAATCTGAAGCAGGGGTCAGGCTCTGAGCTGTTGGCTCGAACCCAGGAACCGTGAGATCATGACTTGAGCAGAAGTCAGACACCCAATCTACTGAGCCACCCAGGCGCCCGTCATTTAAATTTTATTTATTCAGAGAGGAAAAGTTCATGCGAATGAGTGGGGGAGGAGCAGAGAGAGAGGGAGAAAGAGAATCCCAAGCAGGCTCCATGCTCAGCGTGGAGCCTGATGCAGGGCTCGATCCCACAAACTGTGAGATTGCGATGTGAGATGAAATCAAGAATCAGAGGCTTAAGTGACTGAGCCAAGTGCCCCTGCTTTTCATTTTTAATGTTTTTGGAGCAGGAGTACAAAAGAATAGAAGCAATAATAGGTAGATCTTAATTATCTAGAGTACTGATAAATAAGCTCATCTATAGATAGTCAAGAGCTTATCTCTTTAAGGCATGAAGACCTTTAACCAACCGGAAGCACTAAAACCGTTTCGAATGCTTGAAATTAAAAAACACAGCACTCGTGGGGCGCCTGGGTGGCTTAGTCGGTTAAGCGTCTGACTTTCGCTTAGGTCATGATCTCGCGGTTCGTGGGTTCGGGCCCCGCGTCGGGCTCTGCGCTGACTGCCAGCTCGGAACCTGGAGCCTGTTTCAGTCTGTGGCTCCCTCTCTCTCTGACCCTCCCCTGCTCACGCTGTCTCTCTCTCTCTCTCCTAGAAATAAATAAAACATTTAAAAAAAAAAAAAACAAACACAGCACTCGTTACTCTGCTTCCTTAAGTTGAATATACTTCACATTTCTTGGTGACCTGGGCCATGATGACTCTGGAGGACAGTGGTGATGGCTCTGTGACCTGTTGAGGTGCGTGAGACCGCTGCGCCTGACCCTGTAGCCCCCCCCCCGGTCCGGCGTTCTGAGTGCTTCTATCCATTCCTTAGAGCTTTCATGCCCCTCCCTTGCGATTCAGGGCTCAGAAGTCACTTCCTGAGCTTTGAAGAGTTCCTTTCCCAATTTCGAATTTACTGAAGGCCTTAGAAACCATACCTTTGTCTTAAAGGTGTGACAAAAAATTGTAAGAGCAAGAGTCTTGGGTGCTTTCCTTACAGTAGACTTCGTGCACCGGCCTGGTGACATCTGTCCTGGCCACTCAAGGCCCCTCGCTCCTGTTTTCAGGGATATGTGGGGGGCGGGGTGGGGGTTGGTGAGTCCACACTTGTAATCACGCAAGAAGATGTAGCAACGGGCAGAAGAATACACAGAAGGCAGCAGGCCAGGGCACCACAAACCCAGAGGTGCTAACAGAGGAGAGGAAAGCCTGGAGTGAAGCTGCGGGGAGGAAGATGGAGCTGCGTGTCTGCCGAGTTGCTGGGACAACCCAGAGCCGAGCCTGGCTGTGTAAACATCCAACCTGGCTCTTGGCTGCCACCCAGCCCAGCCCAGCGGGCCTCGGGCCCGGCTGCCCAGTCACCCCTCCAGGGATGTGCTGTGTGGGGGAGGGTGCTGTCCGGCGAGCACCTGCACGCTCTCTGATGGGAGCCCATGCTTACTGTAATGGCTGCAGTCACCTGAAGGAGCCCGAAACACCAATGAGGGCACCCTGTCACTCGCCGGCCGCCCACGAGTCTGATCGTCAGGTCCGAGTGACCGTGACGTTCAGAAAGGGTTAAGAAGCACCACCTCACTGAAATCCTAGAGCAAGACAGAAGGACTCACAGGGGCCTGAGAATAACAAGTTCTTAGCCAGGTGACTGGGGGCTCTGGTCTTTTCCACAACAGCACCAAACATGCAGACATTTGTTTTATAAACAAAGGGATAGCGTCATGCAAGTAGTTAATTTGCTAGATACCCTGTGGATCACTGGCTCCCTCATTCCTTCCACAAATGTTTATATAAACGCTGGATAATGCCAGGTATTCTGTTTGGGAAGCACA